AAGAAGGTACCCAGTTGCTCCAAGCCAGGGTTCCACTGGAGGCATAATGGGACCTGAACTCCCTCCTCCATAGTATTGTAAAGCCCCAGACTCCCTAAAGTGTCAGTGGTGGCTAAGTGGGGAATCTGGACTTCTACACTGAGCTTGCAGCACTGGGGCAGCATCCCTCCCTTCTTTCCCTGCTGGAGCAGTGTCAGAGAAAGCCAGCTAAAACAAAATTTAAATAAGATCCAGAGTCTCCTCACTCATAATATCCAATATGTCTAGGATTCAATTTAAAAAATAACTTGTCATTTAAGAACCAGGAAAATCTTAACTTAAATGAGAACCAACAATCAGAAGATATCAAAAGAGAGGTAATGCAAATCTTAGAATTATCTGACAAGGATTTTAAAGCAATCATCATAAAAATGCTACTACAATGGGCAATTACAGAAACACCTGCAATGAATGAAAAAATATATATTTGAAATCTTTCACTTTTGTGAAATTTGTTCACAAATAGAAGGAAATCTATTAAAAGATATTATTAAATTCTAAAGAAAAATAGTGTCATTGATGAACAGAAGTTTTAATTTTGATTAAGTCCAGTATCAAAGCTTTCTTTTATGGTTGGGCTTTGTATACTATGTCAAGAAATCCATGCTTACTTCAAGATTGCAAAGATATTCTCTTATGTTTCCTTCTAGCCCGTTTTTAGTTTTTGCTTTTATGTTGAGGTCTATAATCTAGCTTGAGTTAGTTTTTTGTTTTCTTTTGTTTTGTTTTTGAGGCAGAGTCTCACTCTTGTTGCCCGGGCTAGAGTGCCGTGGCATCAGGCTAGCTCACAGCAACCTCAAACTCCTGGGCTCAACCGATCCTTCTGCCTCAGCTTCCCTAGTAGCTGGGACTACAGGCATGCACCACCATGCTCGGCTAATTTTTTCTATATATTTTAGTTGGCCAATTAATTTCTTTCTATTTTTAGTAGAGACAGGGTCTCGCTCTTGCTCAGGCTGGTTTTGAACTCCTGACCTCCAGCGATCCGCCCGCCTCAGCCTCCCAGAATGCTAGGATTACAGGCATGAGCCACCATGCCCGGCCAGATGCTATGGCTTGTTTTCTATTTCATTAATTTTTGGTCTTTACTGGTTCCTCTCTTTTACTTCCTTTAGGTTTATTTGGTCCTTCATTTTATAGCTCATTGAGGCTAAATTTTAGGACATTAATTTTAGACTTTTTTAAAGCTATAAATTTCCTTATAACCTGAAAGTGTAGATGTGTCCTTTAAACTGGGAAGTGGATATAGGCTGGAAAATAGTTTAAGGATCATGTTAGAGAAATCCTAAATTGATTAAACACATTGTTGGTAGAAATTTGGACTTTGTGTATGCTGCCAATGAGTGCTCAAAAGGAAGTGGAGAATATGTTTTGGAAACTGGAGGATCCTTGTTAAAGGGTGACACAAAACTTAGCAACACTGTTATCTGCAGTTACATGGAAATGAACTTGGTGATCTATGTAATATTTCCAAGCAAAATGTTGAAGGTGCCTGACTTCTTTTTGCTTTTTATAGCAAAATGTGAAAGGAAAGAAATAAATTGAGGAAAGGACTGTTAAATACAGAGGAGCTGGGACTTGATGGTTTTGAAAATTATTAGCCTCTCCAGGTAGCACAGGATGCTAAAATTAAGAAATGGCTTGGTAGTGCTATCAGGAAAATGTGATCTAGAGATAAAGCAAAGGCTGTGACTGTATAACATTTTAAGATCTCAGAAGGATCAGAGGATCTGAGTATTCAGCCATACAAAAGCCCCTTTGAAGAGATTAAAGGTACCTCACAGATATTCTCAATCAAACAGTAGTGCCTCTAGGAAGCTTAGGAGTATTATTCCTCAGCCCTCACAAGTCTAAGGCAGAGAAAGGCTTATTGTGAAGAGATCTCTGGGTGCAGCTTTTATCTAATAGAGTAAACTCAGTGAGATTCACAGAAAATAAATAAAATTTTAGGGTAAAGTATATCAGCAGAAATGCTACCACCTTGGTCTGAAAGGGATACAAACAAACAAAATGGAAAGATGTTAGACCTCCAAAATTCTTGTAGCAGGAACCAGGTTAAGCAAACTCTTTTGCTGCCTTTCATGAAAAAGGAAGGATGGCTCAGATGGTGGGGCCAAGAACCAAGATAGTGGAATCAAAAGCCATGAAGAATTATTTTTAGGTCTTGAGACCTAATCAAAGAACTCTTGACATTTATCCAGGCAGATAATTCTTTATTTTATTCAACATTTAAAAAATATTCAGCTGTATTTTGGCCTCCATTTCTTGTGTTGCATAAGTGGTCACTTGAATCACTGTTTCTCTGTATGTAACATTTCAGTGTCTTTGTTTTTCTGGCTGCTTTCAAAATCTTTTCTTCTTTGATTTTCAGTAGTTTGCCTATGATGTGCCTAGGTATGATTTTATGTGGATTATCTTCCTTGGATTTGCCAAACTTCTTGAATCCATAAATGTATGTATTTCACCAAATTTGGGGAGTTTCTGACCATTATTTTAAAACATATCTTTTCTGCCCTTTCCTCCTCTCCTTCTGGGTCTCAAATTATATGTATGTTAGATTAATTTTGACTTACTTATTGGTCTTAGTCTGTTTGTGCTGTATTTTATAACAAAATACCAGATACTGGGTCATTTATAAACAATAGAAATTTATTTCTCACAGTTCTAGAGGCTGGGAAGTCCACAATCAGGGCACCAGCAGGTTTGGTGTCTGGTAAGGGCTGTTCTCTGCTTCCAAGATGGCACCTTGTTGCTGCCTCCTCCAGAGAGGACTAATGCTGTGTCCTCAAGTGGTAGAAAAGATGGAAGCGAAAAAAGGAAGAGGACTGGCTAGTTTCCTCCAGCCCTTTTATAAAAGCACTAATCCTTTTCTTGAAGATGGAGCCCTCATGACCTAATCACCTCCCAAAGGTGATACTTAATACTGTTGCCTTGGGGATTAAGTTTCAACATAAATTTTAGAGGAGGATGCAAACATTCAAACCATGGCATCATCCCTGGCACTATTCATTTTTATTTTCATATTTTTTTCTCTCTGCTTTTCAGATTGGATAATTTCTGTTGGTCTGTTTAAGTTCATTACCTATTTCTTCTGTTATCATCATTTTTATGATACGCCTATCCAGGGAATGTTTTAGTTTCAGATTGTATTTTTCAGTTCTAAACTTTTCAGCTGGTTATTTTTTATAGTTTCTATTTCTCAGTTGAGTTATCCTATTTATTCATTATGAACATATTTTTCTCTATGTTCTTGAGCATAATCATAAATCACTAGTTTAAAATTCTTTCCTGCTAATTCTGGCATATGGATCAACTCAGGTCAGTCTCATATTGCATTTTATCTCGAACCTTTTGTCATTTTCTCCACACCTTTCAATCTCTTTCTATGTTGAGTTATTTTGGATTATAAATTGGTTGTTGTGAAACATATAGTGTAGAGATGTTTGATTCTGTTTAATTCCTTTGAATATTGCTGATTTTTTGTTTTGTTCTATATAATGAGCATTTAACTTGGCTGGACTGAAACTAGAAACTTTCTCCTCTTTGGTTGGCATGTGGAAGCTCAAATTTCAGTTCATTTAAGTGGTCAACCAAAGGTTTGGGCAGAGTTCATTCACAGAATTCAGGCACCTTTCTCTCTCTAGACCCCTTTTTGGATCCTCCCACCCTTGATTTTCCAGTGGTGATGATGACTGTAAAACTCTCCTTCGATTCTTCCAGTCTATAAAACTGATGGCTTTCTGCTGGAATTTTGTTACTCGCATGGCACTGACCAGGCCTATTCATAAACTAAAGTGCTATCCCTTCTTCTAAGTGTCAGCTTTCTTCCAATAGATGCCTGATTTGGGTTGCTCTTTAGTATCTTCTGACATTTGTTTTTTATATTTTGTTCATAGTTTACGGTTGTTCTCTGTATGGGGGTTGGCCTAATAAAAACACTGCAGGCAAACTAAAACTTAATTTTTGTTATTTTTTGTATATGATGTGAGGTATGAGTCAAGGTTTATTTTTTCCCCAATACTAATATCCATTTCTTCTAGCACAATTTGTGCTTTTCCTTTCCTCATTGAAACCCATTGACATCTTTGTCAAAAAATAGTTGTCCATATATGTGTGGTTCTATTTCTGGACTCTATCCTGTTCTAATGATATATCTGTCTGTCCTTGCATCAGTACAATACTGTCTGAATTACTGTAGCTTTATAGTAAGCCTTAACATTAGGTAGTATAAACCCTCCATACTTTTGCTTGCTTTTGGATACTGTAGGTCCTTTTAATTGCCATGTAAATTTTAATATCCTTTTAGTTTTACCAAAATATTGACAAATACGTGATTGAACAAGTAGAAGAAAAATCAGTGAGGCAACAGGAAATTTCAGCAACATTCAACCAACTTTATTTATATATTATAGAACACTACACCCACCAACAGCCAAATATACATTCTTTTCAGAGAAACATGAACCATTCTCCTAGATAGACCATATGTTGAAATCATACAGAGTATATTTTCTGACCACCATGGAATTAAATTAGAAATGAACAATAAAAAGTCATCAAGAGAAAATGGCCATATTTTTGAAGAGTAAGTGAAAGTATAGGGAGTTATGTAAAGTTAGAAAATGAGGGGTGAAATGATTCCTTTTAAAAGTTATGAAACACAAATTTCCCATAAAAATGAACAAACAAAACATGATCAAGGTCAAATCCTATAGAAAATTATTTTTTAAAATGGAAGACTATGTGTCATATACTATGAATAGCAAAAATATATGACCAGACATTTGTATTCTACAAACATTATATATAGAGATAAATAGATCGATATATAAAACTAGGTATTTAATAGGTATACCATATGGTATATTATGGTGAAAAATATATAAAAACAACTTCCTGTCTGTCATCTTCCATCCCCCAGTGTTGATCATGTTGCCTTGAACAGGATTGTGTTGTTACAGGTACCAGTGTCATTTGAGGATGTGACCGTGGACTTCAGTTGGGAGGAGTGGCAGCAGCTGGACTCTACTCAAAGACGCCTCTACCACGATGTCATGCTGGAGAACTACAGCCATCTGCTGTCAGTGGGTAAGCACAACAATCCTGTGAAGCTGTGAAGAGCCTGTTATGGGTTTATTTGTGTCCCTCAAATAAAGTATGTTGAAAATCTAACCCCTAGTACCTCAGAATGTGACCTTATTTGGAAATGGAGTCTTTATAGAAGTAATCAAACTAAAATGGGGTCATTAGGGTGGGCCTTAATCTAATATAACTGATATCCTTATAAAAAGGAGAAATCTGGACAGAGACACACACAAAGGGGAGACAATGTGAAGGCACACAGGGAGAAGATGGCATGTGACTGGAATGATGTATCTGTAAGCCAAACAACACCTGAGGCCACCAGAAACTAGGAGAGAGGCCTGGAATAATTCCTTCCCTGGTGCCTGCTGACACTGTGGTTTTGGAGTTCTGGCCCCCAGAACTCTGAGATGATAAATTTCTGCTGTTTTGAGCCCTCCTAGTTTATGGCACTTTGTTACAGCAGCCCTAGGAAACTAATATAGATTTTTTTACTTGGAAATGGGGTGCTACTGTGACAAATACATAAAAAATGTGAAAGTGGCTTTGCAATTGAGTAATGGGTAGAGGCTAGAGCTAGAGGCTAGGTTTTAAATGCTTTGAGGTCTCAGATAGAAACGAGGAACATGTCATTGCAAACTGGAGGAAAAGCAATCCTTGTTCTAAACTGTCAGAGAACATGGCTGAATTGTGTTCTTGTTGGGTGAAAAGTAGAACTTGTAACTGATGAACTTGAATATTTATTATAGCTGAGGAGATTTCTAAGTACTGTTTGAGAGCATAGGCTTGTTTCTCCTTGTTGCTTATAGCAAAATGTAAGAGGAAAGAGATAAACTGAACAAGGAATTGTTAGTGTAAAGGTACTAAAACTTCAAGGTTTGGAAAATTCTCAGCCTATCTATATTGTAAAAGTTGAGAACATGTACTCTGGAAAGAACATCAAGAGTGTCTGGACACCTGATTGCTAAAGAGATTAGATGTGTGACTTGTGGATTCAATCGACTGTCTCAGTAGAAATGCTTCCAGGTTGGGCTGAAGGAGACAGAGATGGGAGAGAATGAAGGCAGGCTGTTAGACTTCTCCATTCTCTAAGGCAGGAAATAGGATGGTAAAGCTATATGACTGTGAACATGTGTTATCCTTCCAGAAAAGGGAGGAATGACTTCAGGATAGTATAGCTATAGCTGCTGCTACAGTCCCTGAAGGCACAGGCTGGGGAGATGGGGGAACCCACTGCGTCCTCAGTTTCAGAGGGCAGGGCTATCTCTTTGTTTCCAGGGCTAAGGGGGCAGGACCACCATCCAGAGCCAAGGGTTGAGGGGTGACCATGTCCGCTCTGAGGCCATACCTCTGAACAGTTTCGTATGCCTTTGAACTCTCTCTTTTTTTTTTTTACCACTTCTTATATTTATTATTATTTTTAATTTTAAAGATTCCAGTGTTGAATACCTCTTTTCTTTTTTTTTGCTTTTTTTTTATTTCGGCATATTATGAGGGTACAGATTTTAAGGTTTCAATAAATGCCCTTCCCCTCCTCCCCCCACAAGTCTGAGTCTCCAGCATGACTATCCCTCAGATGGTGCGCATATCACTCGCTATGTATGTATATACCCGCCCCCCTCCCCCCTCCCCAATACCCTATTACTGTAGTACCTATGTGTCCACTTAGGTGCTACTCAGTTAATACCAGTTTGCTGGAGAATATATCTGGTGCTTGTTTTTCCATTCTTGGGATACGTCACTTAGTAATATGGGTTCCAGCTCTAACCAGGAAAATATAAGATGTGCTATATCACCATTGTTTCTTAGAGCTGAATAGTACTCCATGGTATACATATACCACATTTTATTAATCCATTCTTGAATTGATGGGCACTTGGGCTGTTTCCACAGCCTTGCAATTATGAATTGTGCTACTATAAACATTCGAGTGCAGGTGTCTTTTTTGTAGAGTGTCATTGGATCATTCGGGTAGATGCCTAGTAATGGGATTGCTAGATCAAATGGTAGATTCCCTTGTATTGCTTTAAGGTATCTCCATATTGCTTTCCACAGAGGTTGAACTAGTTTGCAGTCCCACCAGCAGTGTAGGACAGTTCCTCTCTCTCCACATCCACGCCAGCATTTGTTATTTGGAGACTTTTTGATAAAGGCCATTCACACTGGAGTTAAGTGATATCTCATTGTGGTTTTGATTTGCATTTCCCTGATGATTAGAGATGTTGAGCATTTTTTCATATGTTTGTTGGCCATTCTTCTGTCTTCTTTAGAAAAGTTTCTGTTCAAGTCCTTTGCCCATTTTTAATAGGGTTATTTGATTTTCTTGCTGATTTTCGTGAGTTCTAAGTATATTCTAGTTATCAGCCCTTTATCGATACGTAGTAGATGCAAAAATTTCTCCCATTCTGTAGGTTGTCTGTTTACTTCATGACTGTTCTTTGGCTGTGCAGAAGCCTTTAGTTTCATCATGTCCATTTATTTATTTTTGTTGCTGCTTTGATTGCTTTGGGGATTTCTCACAAACTCTTGCCTAGGCCGATGTCTAGGAAGTCTTTCCAACATTTTCCTCTAGAATTCTAATGGTTTCATACCTGAGATTTAAGTCTGTTATCCAGCGTGATATTTTTGTGAGAGGTGAAAGGTGTGGGTCCTGTTTTAACCTTCTACAAGTGGCTATCCAGTTTTCCCAGCACCATTTATTGAAAAGGGATTCTTTCCAGCGTATGTTTTGTCTGCTTTGTCAAAGATTAGATGGCTATATTGAGGATGGTTTTATATCAGGATTCTCACATCTGTTCCACTGGTCAATAATCCTATTTGTGTGCCAATACCAGATTGTTTTAATTACAACAGCTTTGTAGTATAGTTTGATATCTGGCATATTAATACCTCCCAATTTGTTTTTGTTGCCTAGAATTGCTCTTGATATTCGGGGTCTTCTTTGGTTCCATACAAAGCGTAAAATTATTTTTTCTATATCTGTGAAGAATGCTGATGGGATTTTAATAGGTATTGCGTTGAATCTGTAGATCAGTTTGGGTAGTATAGACATTTTAATGATGTTGAGTCTGCCGATCCACGAGCAAGGAATGGATTTCCATCTGTTTACATCCTCTGCTATTTCCTTCCTCAGTGTTTCATAGTTTTCCCTGTAGAGGTCTTTTACCTCCTTCGTTAAGTATATTCCTAGGTACTTTATTTCTTGTTGCTATTGTGAAGGGTATTGAGTCTTTAATTTGGTTCTCGATTTGATTGTTGTGGCGTATACGAATGCTCTGATTCTGTGTATTGATTTGTATCCTGAGACTTTGCTAAATTCATTTATCAGTTCCAGGAGTTTCCTGGTTGAATCTTTGGGGTTTTCTAAATATAATATCATATCATCAGCAAACAGTGAAAGTTTGATCTCTTCTGCCCCTATTTGGATACCTTTAATTCCACTTTCCTGTCTGATTGCTGTAGCCAGGACTTTCAGTACTATGTTGAATAGAAGTGGAGATAGTGGGCAGCCTTGTCTGGTTCCAGTTCTAAGTGGAATGCTTTCAGTTTTTCCCATTCAGTATAATGTGGCTATGGTCTGTCATAAATGGCTTGTATCATTTTATGGTATGCCTTCTATGCCTGTTTCTTGATGTTCGTATCATGAAAGGTGTTTTGAATTTGTCAAAAGCTTTTCTGCATCTATTGAGAGAATCATGTGGTCTTTGTTTTTGCTTCTGTTTATGTGGTGAATTGCATTTATAGATTTGCGTATGTTGAACCATCCCTGCATTCCTGGGATGAAGCCACTTTGTCATGATGATTATTTTTTTGATAAGCGTCTGGATTCGTTAGCTATTTTGTTGAAAATTTTGCATCTATATCATTAGGATATGGTCTGTAGTTTTCTTTTTTTGTTGGATTCTTTCCTGGTTTGGTATCAGAGTAATATTCGCTTCATAAAAGGTGTCAGGAGATTTCCATTCTTCTTGATTTGTGGAATAGTTTCTGCAAAATAGGTAAAGTTCTTCTTTGTAAGTGTGGTAAAATTCGGGTGTGAAGCCATCTGGACCGGGACTTTTCTTTTTAGGGAGATTTTTAATTGCTGTTTCTATTTCAGCTGTTGAGATTGGCCTGTTCAGGGAATCTATTTTTCCTGTTGAGCCTAGGGAGGCTGTGTGTTCTAGAAATTTATCCATTTCCTCCACATTTTCCAGTTGTGTGAATAAATATCTTTGTAGTACTCATAAATTATATCTTGTATCTCTTTGGGATCAGTTGTGATATCTCCTTTTTTATTCCTGATGGAGCTTATTAGAGATTTCTCTTTCTGCTTTTCGTTAGCTTAGCCAGTGCGTGTCAATTTTGTTTATTTTTCAAAGAACAACTTTTGTTTGTTAATCTCCTGAATAGCTTCCTGTTTTCAATTTCATTTAGTTCTGATTTTATCTTGTTGATTTCACTCCTTCTGCTGGGTTTGGGCTGTCTATTCTTCTTTTCCAGCTCTTTGAGTCTTTCATTAGATTGTCTATTTGTGATCTTTTGACTTTTGGTTATGGCATTTATGGAGATAAACTTTCCTCTCAGAACTGCTTTAGCTGTGTCCCAGAGGAGTTGATAACTTGTCTCTCCATTGTCATTTTCTTCATAGAATTTTTTATTTCCATCTTGATTCTTCATTTATGAAGTAATCATTTAGTAGGAGGTTGTTTAATTTCCATGTTTTTGTGTAGAAATGTGAGTTTCTGTTAGGGTTGATTTCTACCCTTATTCCATTGTGATCTGAGAAGATACATGGTACGATTTCTATTTTTTTAAATTTCTTGAGATTTACTTTGTGTCCTAGGATATGGTCAATCTTAGAGAATGTCCCGTGAGCTGATGAGAAGAACGTATATTCAGTGGATTTGGGTAGAATGTCCTGTAGATGTCAGTCAGACCCAATTGTTCTAGGTTTTGTTTAAGTCCATTATTTCTTTATTAATTTTCTGTTTGGAGGATCTGTCTTGAGCCGTCAGTGGGGTGTT